GGGGTGGGGGTGGGAGCGGGCGGCACGGAAGTGGGAGTGCGCTCGGACCCGGGGTCGGGCCGGCCTCGGGCTCCGCGGGGCTACGTGGGCGGAGTTGGCGCGCGCCCCGGCCGCGGCCTGCTTCTCACCCCCCACCCCTGCGGAGGGCGGAGTCACGGTCTGAACGCGGTCTCCGGCCCCCGGAAGCTTCGAGTTCCTTGAGAGCGAGCTCTCGGCGGGGTGTGGGGGGTGAGGCCGGGCCGGCGGCCTTTTGCCTTACGTGCTCCACGTTAGTCAAATGACTTCCAGTTGTGAGGGTTCAGGGCCTCTACCCCAGGCCAGAGTGCCCTTCTTCCCCTGCCCGGTCGGGGGCTGCGCAGTCTGAAGCTTCTCCCGGGTCATGATTGTGTGCGAGGGTAGTGAAGATTGGGTGACACCTCCCAAAGGTAGGACCCTTGGGGACTCTCAGGGCAGGCCCGTGTTCCGGATGGCGGCTTTGCTTCTGAGCCTTTAGCAGTGAAGGTATTGTCGGGGCCAGTCCTTCTCAAATCACGCTCTCTTGTGAGGCTCGTTGGCACGTGTCTTTACCGTTTCAGAAAAATGTTCGTTGGTGGCCTGAGCTGGGATACCAGCAAAAAGGACCTAAAGGATTACTTTACCAAATTTGGAGAGGTCGTTGACTGTACAATAAAAATGGATCCCAACACTGGTCGGTCAAGAGGGTTTGGGTTTATCCTCTTCAAAGACGCAGCCAGCGTGGAGAAGGTAAGCTGGGCGCTTGGTGTCTGCAGCCTTAAGTTTGTTCTAAGAGGATAGCATGATGAGTTCGTGTGTTCTGTAGGTGGTTGAGGTGAGGAACTTTTACTGTTTTTGAAGGGATTAAAGAATAGATTAAGTGGTGAGGGGTATGGGTTTGAGTGGTCCAGGAGGATCATCGTTGGTGTTTATTGCCTTTTTTGTGTCTCTCCTGGGCACTGATAAAGCAAATGTGCTATTGTGAGGACTAGAATGAAGAGTCCAGGGTTGCTATGAATGAACTAGGCATTATTTTAGCTCCATTTTATGGAAAATGAAACAAAGGCTCAGAAGTGTAAGTAGAAGAGCTCAGAGCCAGAAAGGGGTGGATTCCAACCCTAGCAGCCCACCTCCAGCTTTTCTCACTGTTGCCTAACTCATGAAAGAGCCGGGCTTTAAACTAAGACTGCCCCCCTAGGGTAAAGCAGTGTGGGGGGGGTGAGGCCTGTAGGCGTTCAGATAAACGAGCTGTACTTGAAGTTTGGAGATGAAGTTGGGTTGCTAAGTCAGGTTAGGGGTGGAGTTTGGAGGGGCCAAACACGTTTTGTGTACCAGCGTTGGGGCCTCTGTGGCTGAGAGAGAGGGCCTTGTTGAGGGTGGTGCTGCTGAGTTACAACCTAATTTTCTTCTGTTGGGACAGGTCCTAGACCAGAAGGAACACAGGCTGGATGGCCGTGTCATTGACCCCAAAAAGGCCATGGCCATGAAGAAGGACCCGGTAAAGAAAATTTTTGTGGGGGGTCTGAATCCTGAAGCCACTGAGGAGAAGATCAGGGAGTACTTCCGTGAGTTTGGGGAGGTGAGTATGGGACCCTGGGAGTGGGCTGCCGGTTGCCCTGAGGTTGCTTTCTCCCTGGTCCTTGGCAGCCTTGGCTGGCTATAACCCTCCTCTACAGACAGGGCTGCTGTATTCACTCAGGCCTTCATGGGTCTTTTCTCCTGGGAGTTCCCTATGGGCCTTGGGGGTGGGAAGAGGCATTGATTCTGAGTTTTGCATATGTTTCCAGATCGAGGCCATTGAACTTCCAATGGATCCAAAGTTGAACAAAAGACGAGGCTTTGTTTTCATCACCTTTAAAGAAGAGGAACCTGTGAAGAAAGTTCTGGAGAAAAAGTTCCATACCATCAGTGGAAGTAAGGTAAGGTGGTTCCAGCTCTGTCTCTGACCTGCTGCTGGAGAGCTGATTGTTACAGGGGTGGGTTAGCAGTTGGGCTACCTCTCCAGGGCAGTCTGACCCCACTGTGTTTCTGCGATGCCTGCTGTCCTGATTGGGGCCGATGGTCCTGTCCTTCAGGGAGTTCCAGGCTGCTAGAATTGGCGGAAACCCAGGATGTGTGGGAGGCAGGAGAAAGGGTGGTTTCTAAGGGCTAGAGCATGTTGAGTAGACCCTTTGATTCCTGATTGAAAGCTAGAGATCACGGTGTTTCCAATCTAGGGTCCAAGGTGAATATGGCCTGCAGTTAAAGTCTCGGAAGATTCTAGAACTTCTATTTATGGGTTTCTTTCCTTTGGGTAAAGTCTTTCTTGCCGTGGAGCTTTTTCCTCTTTTCTGTCACAACCAAATCTTTGTTCACTTCCACCTCCTTTGGATCTGGTTTAGTCAGTTCCCCCCTCAGGTGAAGATTCTTCCCAAAGCTCCCAGGGTTTTAGCAGCTTGTGTCTATGGTCCGTTTTTGCCTGAGGTGAGCAGTGCTGTGCCTGAGAACTGCCGCCCTTTCCTCTGAACTCTGGCCAGGCCGGAGGGGAGGAGGGGGGGGAGTTTGCTTCAGGTATTCTCTAGGTGGCCTCGAGGCAGGTGAGGGTGTTGCTCGCTGGCCGGGAGTGGCAGCCAGATAAGGTGGGACGGGTGGGGTGGGGCTTCTAGAAGTCTTAATCCTGGCTGGGAAGTTAGACTGGATTTAGGATTGGGCCCTTAAGAGTTTACGTCAAATGAGTTTGAATCCTAGGCTCAGCAGCTGGTTAAGAGCTGTTCCCCCAGTGGACAGTGAATGCACAGGACTTTTTTTTCCTGTGTCTTAATGTGAAACGGGCAGGAAGTACTTGTAACGTAGGCAATTGCTACTGGTGGTGGGTTTTGAAATAAATGTATTCAGCGTTTTTAATTAAACAGAAGACATCAGATGGCATCACTTGGTGGGGGTGGTTTCCTGGTTCGTTAGAGTATGCTTGAATGGTGACATACCGTATAAAATGGTATTTTACAGGTCCTAATTAGGGGAGTATATGTGCTAGGGTACTTTGAAAAGTAAACTGATTTACTTACAAGAGCACTGGGTGGTGGGAGGTCCCTGACCCTAACCCCACCTGCAGTGGGCAGATTTTTGAGCAAAAAGGGAACTGACTCTTTGGCTCCTAAGGGGACACCGCTATCTGGCCCTTCCCAACAACAGGCCAGTGGTTGGGGGAAGGGGGGAGCAGTGTGGCTGCAGGGAAGCCCCGCCCTGAGCGTCAGTGGCTTTCTTCCTCAAAGCCGGAGGTCAGTGTCGCCGCCTCGGTGTGTTCGAGTGGGGTGCTTCATTTCTTCTATAAAGAAAAGACAAAATGAGAAATTGTCCCTCCCGCCTTAAGGTCCCTGATCTGAGAAGCCAGCTCTGATCGCCCTTGCCCAGTAGGACAGGGCTGGCATCAGACCTACTCCCGGTGTGGGATCTTGCTACACTAGGTTGGCATTGGCTTCGCTGTCTCTCCTCCCAGTCGTTAGATGCGGAGCTGCCCCTGGGCTGCCATCAGCAGGCCTGGGTATAGCTGTTACCCCAGTAACTTCTCTGGGGAAAGGTTTTGGCCAAAAAGGCCCTAGTGAGCCCCGGTCCATTGAGATTTTAGTTGTACCGAAAGCTTCTAGCCCAAACGTGGCTTCCCACTTCAGCATATTTTTTTTTGTTGGTTTGTTTTTCTGAGGATTTACAGAGTGCGCGCGCGTGTTGGGGGGACAGGGAGAGAGAAACCTTAGCAGACTTTGCTCGGCGCAGAGCCCCATGTGGGACTCAATCCCACGACCCTGCGCCCAGACCAAGAGTCGGGACGCTTCACCAACCCCGCTGACTGCACCCCTGGGCAGATTTTGTTCTTGAGCAGACTGTCCCGATTGGCCATCTGAGTCTCCGTCAGCAAAGGTGTCCACCGTGCCTGCCCAGAGCTTGTCGCAGTGGTGTGACCCATTGTTCTCTCTGCTTTCAGTGTGAGATCAAGGTGGCCCAGCCCAAAGAGGTCTATCAGCAGCAGCAGTATGGCTCTGGGGGCCGTGGGAGCCGCAACCGAGGGAACCGAGGCAGCGGCGGCGGCAGTGGAGGTGAGTGGAACCTGGCTCGGTGAAGATGGGTGCTTGTCTGGGGGGCTCTCGCCGGCTTCCGGTGCGTGCTGCGCCAGGCCGGGCGAGTCGCGGCGGTGCTGCTGCTTGGCATGGCATGGGGGAGCCTGGCTCTCTTGGGGCCTGGGGCCCCAGGGCAGAGGGGCATCCGCATTGCAGTCAGGGTGTGGGGGGCATGAGGGGCGCGCTTGGCTCGGTGGCGGTCCTGAGTCTCGGGACACCCGTGGGCGGGTGAGCAGAAGGTAGGGCAGGGCTGTGCCAGGCGCTTTACCTCCTTCTGTCCAGGCCCCTCTGACTCCAAAGCCTGAACTTCATCCTTTTTTAAGGCCAAGCTGCCAGGGAGCGTGGTGGGGTGAGGAGAGGGACATTCGAGAGAGAGTGAGCTCCTGCCTCATTTGCCCCGAGAGGAGTTAGCCGTCCGGTCTCTCCTGGCCGATCCCAGGCATGGGTTTCCGACGCGGGGCCGGGCCCAGGGCCCTCGACCCCAGGACAGCAGCCCCTTGGCTTCTACCGCTGAGTTGCCATAGTAACCCCGCCACCCGAAGGGCAGGATTTCCTCCATCCTAGCTCCTGCGTGTGCTAAATGGTCCATGGGCCCCTGTGCCCTGCTCCCCCCACAGGTCAGAGTCAGAGTTGGAATCAGGGCTACGGCAGCTACTGGAACCAGGGCTACGGCTACCAGCAGGGCTACGGGCCCGGCTATGGCGGCTACGACTACTCGCCCTATGGCTATTACGGCTACGGCCCCGGCTACGACTACAGTAAGTAGGAGAGAGGGAGGCCCCCACCGCTCACCACCCCTCCCCCGGGAGGCAGGACAGACAGTGCAGGGGCCACCGGCAGCAGGGGCTTTGGAGTCGGACAGGCTGGGCTTGGGGGTTTGGCGCGGCCGCTGGCGGCAGGGAGGAAGCGCTTGAGCTTCTGGGCCTCGAGCCCGTCCCCGCCAAGCGCCTGGCACAGAGCGGGGAAGGCTCAGGAAGGCGGAGCTGCGACCATTGTCGTTCTTGTCCCCAGGTCAGGGCAGCACAAATTACGGGAAGAGCCAGCGCCGCGGCGGCCACCAGAACAACTACAAGCCGTACTGAGGCTTCGGCAGGACGCCCGACCGATCGCACACGCTTGTTTGGATCTCGAGTGAACACAATTATGTACCAAATTTAACTTGGCATACTTTCTATGGCCTGTCCCATGTGCATCTTATTTAAAATTTCCCCCTTGGAAATCACTCTCCTGTTGACTATTTCCAGAGCTCTAGTTGTTGTAGGCAGCGTGTGGGGTCTCCGAGGCCGGAGTGGCGTGAGAGGCTGATTGTATTCCCAGGTCCCCCAGAGCCCAGCTGCCGCGCCTGGACCTATGGACCCTGGTTGTAAAGAGTAAACTGTATCTTAGGAAACCAGTGTCACCTTTTTTTCACCTTTTAATTTTATATTATTTGTGTCATACATTTCCTGTTAATGGAAGTGTTAATTTTACTGTACTTTTTGGTACCTTTTGGGAATCTAATGTATTGTAAGGTATTTTACACGTGTCCTGATTTTGCCACGACCTGGATATTGAAGCTATCCAAGCTTTTGAAATAAAAATTTAAAAACCCCCAAAGCCTGGGTGAGTGTGGGGTGTGCTGTGAAGAGCGGGGAAGGGCCTCCTGAGCCTTTGAAGCTCTAGTACCCTCCATGACTAAATAGCAGTCCTCTCAGGTGGGGCCATGGACGCTCAGCATCACCAGTGAGCTGCTTGTAAGGACCGGTCCTGCCCAGGACTTGAGCCTTTTTAGAGAAAGTTAAAGGACTCTGACTGGAGGCAGCTTCAAGGGGGTGAAGGTGGTACCGTGAGGGATGCTGCCCCCAGGGCAGTGGGGTCTGAAGCACCTGCAGACTGTTCTGTCTTTCCTTGCTGGTGTTAGTGGGATTCGGTTTCCCAGCAAGGACAGTGTGAAGGCAGTGTCCTAGGGACTGGCTGGATGGGACTCAAAGTGCCCCCTCTGGCTGAGCCTGGCTGCTGGCTGGACTGAGGCCCCCCAGAGCTGGTGGTTGAGGCCTCAGACCAGCAAAGATTTGTTTCCCCTCACTTCTAGAACTGGCTTGGGGGAAGGCGCTACTTTTGCCCTCTCCTGTCAGCTATCAAGTGCAAACTGTTGGGAGAGGTTGCTGGCGGGATGGCTGGAGAGGACCCGGTTAAGAGCAAGGTTTGGCTTGCTGAGGGTGCAGACCCCGGCGGAGGGTTGCAAGGAGTGAGGCCCACCCACCTGGGGGAGGGAGGATGTGATGTGGCAGGGCTGCCTCAGGGCCGGAGCCTCAGCGTCTCACAGCTCCTCACCTTTTCTTCCATGTCTGAAAAATAGCACAAAGCCCCCCTGCTTAGCCTATCTTCAGCATCCAAGCTTCTTGGATGACAGTTTGGAGACTGGGCCCTAGTCCAGCCCCTTGACCATGCACACAGGCCAAGCCACAGGGTCAGCAACGCTGTCCCGAAAGGACAAAGCCAGACCTCCGTCAGGTTTCCTGAGACTTCAGGCTCAACGGCAGCCCCCTCTGCCCAGGAAAGCAAAGCCAGGTCCATGCCCAGTCAACCTGCCTCTCCTCCCCTGGGCAACCCCCCCCCACAGCGGGCGCGCGTTTCTGCAAGGAGCTGGGATTTTGCCCAATGGCCACCCCTGCTCCCAGCTCTGCACGTGCAGCATGGCCTGCGGAGACCTGTCCGCTTCTGTCACTCTGGGGGGCCCGGTGAGTGCATTTTAGGGGAGACCCTGGACTGATCCTGATGTTTCCTCGGGGACCGGAAACCTGCGGAGGAGTCTCCTTTTGCATTTCATCAGTCCTGGGTGCAAATCTCATTCCAGCCGCTCAGCAGCTCAGCCGCCCAAGGGGATGCTGGCCTTCTAAGTAAGGCACTAGGCTCCTGCCACCCACGTAGTACGTCCCCGCAGCTTCACGGATAACATGATGGGGGCGCTTCCCTGGAGCTCCGATTCCCTTGCCCCGTGTCCAGACTGGTGCCGCCCAGGCAGGATGGTGAGCGGCTCAGGAAGCCCTTCCTGTCACACCGCAGTTCCTTGGTCCCTGCATAGTCTGCAGGACTCGCGGCCCGCTGCGGAGCCCCCTTCCTGGGCACCCGGGAAGGTCCTAGCTCCCGGCCGCAGGTTGGGCTCTAGAGTCGAGGGCCCCCAGCTCACCTGTCAGGATGGTATCCATCTTGGCCACCACGTGTCGCGCGTTGTCCACACTGAAGCACATCGGGGGTTTAAACTTCAGGACGTTCCTCCCAGGGCCATCAGTGCTCAGCAAAATGTAGTTCTCTTTCAGCCTGGGGGTGGGGGGGGCAGCACATGGTAAGGCCCTGCTGCCCAGCAGCCAAGGAGCCCTTCATGGGGCCTCCCCGCCCCCCCAGGCCGTCCTGTCCCCGGGAGCCCCACCCCTGTCCAGGTCCCACCAGGACACGGCCCTGGCTGCCTCTGCCCGACCTCCTGCCCGCCCGTCCTCCGGAGCCCAGCATTAAGGGCTCCCGTGTGGGGTGCCCCACCCCTGGCCCCCCCCGGAGCTCCGGCCTGAGCCAAGCATTCCTGCGCTGCACCGATGCTCACAGGCTGGTACCGTGAACCCCACGTGCCCCCGACCTAGCTTCAGCAGCTTCCCTGCCAACCCTGTTTCTGCTTCCTGCCCCAAAGTAATCTTGAAATTCCAGAGGACTCTCTAGTTTTAATTTCCAATTCTTTCTAGGAAGATGGCTTCACTCTCCTTAATATTATTGGTACCTAAAGACGTTAACATTCCACAGTTGCACTTCGACCTAGGAAGGTAATTTGGCCAGAAAGAAAGGGTCTGACGTGATTGTATTTACGTTCTGACCCCCACTTCCATTCTTTCTCATTCCTTTGTTATTTTTAAGTCTTGCCAGTTTGGCTCCTTTCGCCCGTACCCTTCTTGCCGGCACGGACCGTGGTCCTATTAGAAAGTACAAGGTCTGGACTTGCGATCCAGCCCCACCACCTACCAGTGGGGCCCCCGTGGGTGCCACCCCCCACCCCCACCCCGGTTCTGGTTTCCTCTCTGCACTGGAGAACTCAGGTCTGGCTGCCTCCTTCCCACTGACCCTGAGTCCCGAGGCTTCCCGGAGGGGAAGGCGGTGGGTGAGCTGCTGGGCGCACCCGACCCGCAGAGAAGGCAGGGCTTGGGCGGTAATGGGGGAGGGGGGTCAGTCTCAAAAATCCCAAGGAAGGGAACATTTTTACATTGTTTCTGTTCACATGCTCTTAGAATGATGTGCATTGCACGATCTGAGTAAGGACACACGTGGAACACCAGAGGAGTTTGCCAAGGTGGGGGAAGGGTGCTAAGAAGAGAGTCACAAGGAAAAGGGTTGTGAGGCTCAGGCCCCGCCTGGGGTCGGCTGAAACAACACGCGAACTGGGGCTGCGGTGGGGGACCCCGGAGTCCTGCGATCCCGGTCCTCCACACGCCTTCCACACAGACAAGGAGCAGGAGGTCTGTCCGTCCCGAAAGCCCACTGCTGTGGGAACGGGGAGCCCCAAGTCCGCCTCTGCCACCGTCCCTGGTGTGGCTGCAGGGAAGCTGCTTTCCCTGGGGCCGCCAGGGGTTGTGAAACGCGGCTTTCGGCTCTGGCACCCTCGGCTGGGAACCAGGAACGCGCTGCCCCCACCTGAAGGCTTTGTGCAGGGCCCTGGCCACAGAGCTGGCAGGGGACACACAAAGGGGGCCCCTACCCTGCTCCGGCCCAGATGCCACCTCCTTCAGGTCACCCTCTGTGGGCCTCCAGCCGAAGCAGAAGGCAGGCTCCTTCCCAGGCAGGGCCCCGGAGGCTGCAAAGGCAACTTGTTTCGAGCAAAAGTACCTGGACACCACGTAGTTTGCCTCTTCAGTTGCTGGTGTCCTGGTTGCCGTGTCTTTGATCAGGTCCACACCAATAAAGAGCCCGACGCCCCTGAAGCAGAAAGGTGACATCTTTGGAGGCCAGGCTGAGGGGCCACGGTCCTTGCTCTCCCCCCCCGCCTCTGCCTGCGCCTGTGGAAAGCACTGGGGCCTGTGCCTCTGCTTCCTGGGGAGGCTGGGAGCTGCAGAACCCTTGGAGGGTGGTGACCCAGTGGCAGGAAGTGACTGCGAGGGGAGGGGTCCCAGGTGTGACAGCCGAAATGCTGGGGGTCAGAGCCCAGGTGGACCCTGCTTTCTCCTTCCCTAGAAGTGCCATCTTGGGCAACAGCCCCCCTTGGCGCTTTAGCTCCTCTTCTGTGGGCACACAAGTCCCCACCAACCTGGGTGGCGATGAAGTGACCGAGGAAGCCCCACTCTGCCCCTGGCCGGTGTTCAGTTAGCGGGTAAGGACTGCTGCCCGAGCCTCACCTGACGTCCCCGATGATGGGATGTTTGGCTTTCTGCTGTCCGAGGAGCCCCATCAGGACGCTGCCCACGGAGGCGGCGTGGGCCTGCAGCTGCTCCTTCGCCAGAACGTCCAGGACGGCCAGGCCCACGGCGCAGGACACCGGGCTGCCCCCAAACTGCACCAGGGGACAAACGGCGGCTCAGATGCCGAACCCCTCAGAACTCCGAGTACTCGGGGTTAAACGGGCTCCCCACAAAGCTCCCATAGGCTGTCCTCTCGCCTTTCCTGGCGCTAACATGACTGGGACTCAGGCAAGCTACCCCAGGGGTTCAGGAGGAAGCCCCAAGAGGCAGAATCAGAGGAGAGGGTACTGTGCATCCCCACAGAGCCGGCTTTCGCTGAGAGGCGCTAGGGCCCCAGCTCACAGGGTAGGCCTGGACCCAAAGCGTCCGACTAGGCCCCATCACCTCCGAGCCTGAGCCACATCCAGGAAAAGCCACTTTGTAACTGTACTCAAGGCTCTGGTGGAGCTCCAGGAGGATTCTAGGGCCGAGAGCATAAGCCGGCTGCCTGCAAGCACGTGTGGCCTGAGGGTCGCTGTGTCCGGCTCGTGCGGCATTATGAACAGCTCTCAATTCGGTGCTCACGTTAACTATGTGGTCCTGACTGACACCTGGCCCACCTGGCTCCGCCGGCAGGGCTGTCCCCTCCAGGCCCCCCAGAGCTTCGGCCCCCTTCCTTCACCTGGCCCTGCAGGTGTCTGAGCGGGGGGCCTGTGTCACAGAGAGGGTGGCGCGAGGGTGTCTCTTGCGGACCGCTTTTTTTTTTTAAACTATATTTAAAAAGAAAACTTTATTGAGGTAGACTTTACGTCCAATAAGCTGCAAATACAGTGTATATAGTTCAATGCGACTCGACAAGTACACATACCCGTGGAACCTCCACCACAACGAAGATACAGAACATTTCCATCACTTCCCAAAGTTCTTGTGCCCCTCCACTGCTGGCTCAGGCTACCACTGACCTGCTTTCTGTCACTACAGTTTTGCTGTTTCTGGAATGTTCTCTTTTGTGCCTGGCCGCTTCTGCTCTCCCTGTTTTTGTGATTTCCTGGCTTGTCCTGTGTCTCAGGAGCATGTTCATTTTACTGGTGCATAGTATCCCACTGTATGGACGTACCATCCTTTGTTTATCCAATCTCTTGTTAGTGGTCCCTTGGTTATTTTGATTTTTGGCTACTACGAATAAAGCTGTTTAAGAACATTTGTAACAGGGCGCCTGGGTGGCTCAGTCGTTAAGCCTCTGCCTTCGGCTCAGGTCATGATCCCAGGGTCCTGGGATTGAGTCCCGCATCGGGCTCCCTGCTCTGCGGGGAGCCTGCTTCTCCCTCTCCCACTCCCCCTGCTTGTGTTCCCTCTCTCGCTGTCTCTCTCTCTGTCAAATAAATAAAATCTTAAAAAAAAAAAAACATTTATAACAAATCTCGGTGTAAACAGATGTCCTCATTTCTCTTGGGTAAAACCTAGGAGTGGAATTGCTGGGTTGTAATCATAAATGTAATAGCTTTCTAAAGAAACTGTGAGACTTTCCCGAGGTAGTCGTATCGTATTACATTCCCACCATTAGCCTACAAAATTCCAGGAGCTCCCACCCTCAAAATGATTTGGAATTGTCAGTCTTTTTAACTGCAGCCATTCTAAAGGGTGTATAGTTGCATCCTCTAGATCATCTTCAAACTGGGTGTGCAGAGCCCCGTATTTGAGATCATACAAAGCTTCCTAGGTGATCCTGCCATGAGGCAGATTTCTGATACGTCCAAAACAAATTATGTGTGGAACGGACACAGAGGATGGATTGAGGCTACTTCTTGTATATTATTATTAACCACGAACTTGTTAAAAGGTGGAGTGTACATATTAATAGCATCTTTTGTTTAGAATCATGACCCAGCCAAGATGCTGAACTAGCACAGTAGGCAGGTCATTGCCCCAAGATCACCCCAGAGGAGCAAGAGGAGGAAAATGAACAAGTTCTGACATAGTCCTGGGCATCTAGAAGGTCATGCATACACATAGGGCTATGCGCATGCCCTGTGCCATGTGCATGTTCAGGAAAGACCTGAAAAACTCTAAGCTCTTGCCGGTGGTGAGCTTAGACAAGTTGTAGGCTGAGACAGAGTTGTAAGCTGCTTGGCTGGAAGCCGAGATGGCAGTCTTATTAGACAAAGACATTAAATCAGATGTTATGCATGTATTAAAACAACTAAAGGAAACCATACTGCAAGAACTAAAAAGCAAAGCATGAAGATGTCTCACCAAACATGAATATCATTAAAGAGAAATTTTTAAAAAGAACTAAATAGAAATTCTGGAGTTGAAAAGCACAGTAACTGTAATGAAAAATTCACCAGAGAGGCTCAACAACAGATCTGGGCAAAAAGATGAAGGAATCAACAAATTTGAAGATAATGTCAACTGAGACTGTCTGGTCCAACCAGAAAGAAGAAATGAACAGAGCTTCGGCAACCCATGGGACACAATGAAGCAAACCAACATTTGCATATGGGAGTCCCAGAAGGAGAGGAGAGAGAAAGACACATAAAGACAAAGAGGGTGGGAGAAATGGGTAAAGGTGGTCAAAAGCTAACACATTTCCAGTTATAAAATAAGTAGGTCGGGCGCCTGGGTGGCTCAGTTGGTTAAGCGACTGCCTTTGGCTCAGGTCATGATCCTGGAGTCCCGGGATCGAGTCCCGCATCGGGCTCCCTG